TTCGTACTTTATTGGGCTTGCAACATGAACTTCAGAAAACGTACCCGCTACTTGTCCACGTGAGCAATTAAAAAAACAACCCTATCCCATCTAAGTATACTGGTTGGTTAGTAAATATTCCATGCCTTGTGTCATAATCCCACCAAACCAGCTACCCCCGGCAAATTCACCCATCATCAGAGGTATTTTGCTCATGGCTCAACTACCAGCTACCCTCTGGTAATTTAACGTAGCTAATGAAAATGGCCATTGAGTTCGTTATGAAAACTGGTGATTTTCCATAAATCATCCATTTATAGTAGGATTTTCTATTATAAACAATCCATTTTTGGGGTACCCCGTTCCATTATTTAATGGGATTTTCCATTGGAAACGTTTACCAGCCGGCTATCTTTTACCTCCAGGCCCAAAGGCACCTTGTCTGGAAGTTGAACTGCCAAGCGGTCGCGGTATACCGCGATCTTCTTGACATAGTCCTTCCAAACCCATGCGATGATCCCACGTGGTATGTGAGCAATTGATCAGCAAAAGTGAAAGTCAACTGTCATTCCAGTACTGGTTGGCCAATAGATGCTAAGAACGGGATTCCCCTATTGGATTACACAAATCGCCAATATGTTGGGTAGTATAATCCCCTATAACCAGCAAATGTGAAAGTCAATAGGGTTCATCATCCATGACAACATTTTCCAACATTTTCTGGCTGAAGATAATGGAAAGATCATGGGAATATAATAGGGAAAATCTACTGGGATATATTTGGTGGAAATATACTTTCTGGCGATGATGGGGGTCCCAGATAGGATCCCGGGTCAATAACCACAGCATGACCCCAGTTATGTATGTGTTTTTTTTTATGGGTTTTATACAGGGTTTATAAACCACGGATCCTAACTGAATAAATGTGCCATTGTTAAGTGAGATTGTTTTTTTGGATCTAAATGAGAGTAAATATAAAGATATATAAAGGGGATACACTATGATACAATGGTAATATATGACGGTTTAACAAGACTTAATATATGTGCCATGGTCAAGTTACATGGAAATTATGTGGGTTATGGTCATCCCACCATCATCTGGTTGGTGGTATACCAACCCCTCTGAAAAATATGAGTTCGTCACTTGGGATGATTATTCCCATATATATATATTATGGAAAAATAAAATTCATGTTCCAAACCACCAACCAGATGACAAATTTAGTGTGAAACATATTAGTCAATGGGAAGGATTATCCCATATATTATGGAACAATAAAAAATATTTGAAACCACCAACCAGATGTGTTTCCCATATGTTCCTATGATTTTCCCATGGTTTTCCCAGGTGGTTAGTGCGTGAAAAGGACCAACAAATCTGGAGAATGTATGTTTTTTGCCAGCCCAAATCGGATTTTGTCCACCCAAACTGGGGATTGCTATGTAAATGAAACAGGCCTATCATTCTACCTACGACTGATTTGATTTCAGGGATGTTTTTTTCTATACTGGAAACAATGAGGTTTCAAATATTGTTCTGTCAATTTTCCTGTCAGCCAAATTTTAGAACCATCCATGTAATTGTGGTGTGTATATATAATATTTGCCCACACTGACCCCCGAAACAACCACACCAAATTTATGACATGGATAGAATGGAACCGCTTCTGCCACGGACCAAGGGTAACACAGTGACCACCATGATCATCACGTTTTTGCAGCGAATCCCTATTCTCGCAGACTTTTTTTTCTTCGGAGCACATCCGCACCGTTTGCCCCATAGTTATACTGGTATAATCTACAGTATGATGTCCTGTAGATTTTCCATTCAACTCAGCAATATTAAGCTGGTTGGTGGTATACCTACCCCTCTTAAAAATATAAAAATATGAAAGTCAGTTGGGATTATCATTCCCAATAGTGGAAAAATAAAAGCCATGTTCCAAACCACTAACCAGATTAAGTCTCACTGCTCACCAGGTCGAATGTAGGGCTTCCATCTTTGTTTGTTTAAACCCCGCACCCTCCTGACTACCATGTGTAGTGATAAAGGTACCCTCTGGTAAACATACAAAAAACTATTGAACATGGCCCATTTAGTTCGTGGATTTACCCATTAAACATGGTGATTTTCTAGAGTTATGTTAGTTTACCAGAGGGTAACAGAAGAACACCCTCTGCTATAGAAGGTGAGGGTCATGTACTATGTATGTGTCTACTTGCGGTTGCAGTCGGGATTTTCAATGGGTACAACTATGGTGATAGCCTCCATAAATTGGGAGAATCACGGCTATAACTGAACTATTTTTACATATCCGGTAATAAGAGGAACTGAACTGCACACCCAAGTCAAGAAGATACTGGACTCATTCAATATCAAATCCCATCACTGATCTAGGCCAATACTGTTGCTACAAGGTGGTACCCCCAATTATAAGTTGGTTTATAATCCATCGTAACTAATTTGTCATATCGTCCATAAACTTAACAGTTGTTGGAGATATAAACCAACTTGGCGGTTCCGAACTGGGGAACCACCTTAGAGATACGCACATATTCCATATTATTCATGAAATTCCCATCTATTCCCATTAATACTTCCATTGTAATCCCTACTAAATCACCATCTTGGCTGCTTCATATTTGAAACCTCCCTCGTTTTTTTCGGAGATTCCGCATCTTTTCCGCATGATGCCACCATCATTTGGGGGCTCACGTTAAGGGGACGCAAGACCTATGAGACCAACATGGAGGTTTCCGTTTTGTCATGGGACCCCCAAATCATGTCATGGACCGTGAGCTTTCAGCGTGCCCACAAAGCTGCTACTGCGTTCTTTCACCGACACAATTTGCTACTGCTTTCAGCGTTGCGAGCCTTGCCGGTCTCGCTTCATACGGAGATTCTTCGGTCATCACGCATCGCATGCTCCAATTTTTGCAATGTCTTTTGATAGTCGGTGATTGGCTGCAGCGGGTCATGGCCGCAGCGAGCACGACATCCATGTGAGCTGTGAAGAGTTTCATTTCTGCCGCTGTATGGTCTGCCACCGTGATTTCTGTAGCATAGCAGTGCCTACGCTCAGCATTGTGCTCGCACTGTTTCTTGAAGCACTGCTTGCAGCCATCGGAATGCCAGCTATTTTCAACCTAGACTTGGGGCCCCTATTTTAAGAAAGCAACATATTAGCATCGGAAATGGTTTATAAACCCATATATTCCATATATATATATATATAACTGGTGAGATGGTGAGATGTTCATTAATCCAGTTTACTGGCATATCCCAGGGTTGTTAGCCAGGTATGGTGGGGCCGCAGCCCCATGCGGCCCACAGACATCTCTCCTTACATCTGATTCGAACCTTTTGTTCCTCAGTGCGGCGTGCTGATCATGGAAACCCGTGGGATACTGAGCCCGAGCGTTCACCTGGGTTCATGTTCGACCCCAAACTAGGATTTGAATCTTTAGTTGCTAGTCATGTTGTTCATACATATATACAGTATGTATGTATGTATATATATATATATATCATATCCCCAAACATAGATGCAGTTATCTGTACAACCATCAAAAGTGAAAAACTGGTCTGACGGGACCCAGTAGTAATATGAGTAGCTGGAAGACACCAATCACAAGCTGGCCAATTTGTTGGGAGGAAACATGCCATCAACCCCTTGAGAAGATGATCAGCTAGCCATGTGCGGGTCCATTTCTACCAGATTTGTTGGCCCTTGGCCATCTGTTTTGGTATGTTCCCTTTGATACACCCAATGGCACAAGATTCAAGCACTACTCAGTACCCTTAGGCTGCCATACAGAATCAGCAGGAGTGCAAGTAGTGGTAGGATTCACCCACTTTTCGCAAGTGCGTCCTTTCACCAATCGTGGATCGGAAGTTCTTAATCACTACCCTCCGGTAATTTAACATAGCTATTGAAAATTGCCATAGAAATGGTGAGTTTTCCCATGAAAAATGGTGGATCTTTCCAGTTCGTTATGTAAACGTTCAGAGGGTTTTCATCTGTTCACCCTGCTTCGAAAAGTCCCTGATTTGACCGAAAAATCCTACGTTTCTTGCCAGGATCAAACACCGCAGGTCACGCAACGAAAAAAACACGCGCCATCCAAGGAGTCGGAGGATACAACATGATACAACCACTGGGGGCCGTGAAATGTTGGTTGCTTTGGTAAAAAAAAATCATCCGACTGTATATATATATAATATATATATATCTATCTATCACAACCCCCATTCATCTTAGTAATAAGATCTGGGCAAATTATAATATGTTATAATATTTCACTAACCTGAATAGTTCGGCCATTTGCGGATGATTCCCCTTATTAACCATGATTATAGTGAGGGAGAATAGTGAGGTCGTTATAATTTAGCCAGATAAGATGTAATAAGTTTTAAACCAACAAAACCGCCCTTTAGGGGGACCCATGGCAAGGGTAATCATCCCCAAGATATCATCATCATTATGTTTCCTGACTGAATTGTGCTTTGAAAAGGTTATACATCTCACAAAAAATCCATCTATATCCCATGAATTATTCCCTGTTATATCCCCATGAAATATCACCATGACATATCCGCAGCATTGTTGTTGTTTGAGGTTGTTTTTCACCGTGGTTTTGACTACGTAATGGTTGGAGAAGAAACAGTAACAATCAGCATAGTGTTGTTTATAATCTTATACATCCCATCATATTGCATTCTAGTAAATCACATTCGTTTTCTGTATCCCCAATTAGATTCAAAACCGTATCTTGGGGCCCCACACCGTAGGTACCCTCTGGCAAACTAACAGTTTGCTATTGAAAATGGCCATATTTAATGGAAAATTCCAGTATTTCTGTGGCAATGTTCAATAGCTTTTTGTATGTTTATCCAAGATCTTATAATCTTTATCCAGTATTATTTTCATCTTAGTATTCTCAATTGCAATTTTCAATAGCCAGGGTAATCCATTGTGAACATCCATATCCAAGGCTCAGTGACCAGGTGCTGAATAATCACCTCAGCTGCTGATGGGCGGAACATCTGACATGGGCTGAAAGAAACATGGGCTGTTTAAAGAAACATGGGAAACTATGGGAAAATCATGGGAAAATGAGCTAATGATTGTTAATGTTGGTTAATATACTGTTAATATATGGTTAATATTAATGGTTATTATATGGCTAATGATCTTGAATAATATGGTTTATCAATGATTACTGGTTGGTGGTTTCAACCTACACCTCTGAAAAATGATGGAGTTAAAGTCAGTTGGGATGATGAAATTCTCAACTGAATGGAAACATAAAAAATGTTCCAAACCACCGTGGCACTGGAAAATGTGCAGTGATTTTCCCAAGGAATCACTTCCATTTAAAATCGATCTCCCTTCATCCGCAACAAATCAAATCAATCAAACAACCTGGATTTTTGCAAAGAAATATTGGAATGACAGTCAAGAAAAGAAGGGATTAAGGTGAATCAAACATATTTAAGCGAGATTGTGACATGTTTACCCTCTGGTAAACATACAAAAAGCTATTGAACATGGCCCATTCATAGTGAGTTTTCCCATGAGACATTGTGATGTTCCATAGTTTTTTGTTAGTTTACCAGAGGGTATATATATATATATATATTACCCTCCAGTAAACTAACATAGACCCTGCCAGATAGGGGTTGGAAGATTAGTTTCCATTAAAAGTTGGTGATTTTCAGGGTCTATGTTTATTTACCAGAGGGTATCTATTAAGTATCTATTAACATCTATTTTCAATAGCTATTTCGACATAACCAGAGGATAGACTTCTCGGTTACATGTTCTCGAACTCCTGATAATCTGATGTTGCCGCCTCCTGACATCCGGAACCTAACGAAGGTTTATATCAATGGATTGGTTTAAGGGAAAACTTACAGGAAACCATGGTTTTTACCATGAAATATGGGGTTTTCCTATAAATTTTCCCCTAAACCAATCCATTGATTATAGCTGGGAAAATCAGAAAACATGTAGGAATTCTCATGGTTGATAATGGTAAATCATTCTTAATAGTGGTTACTAATCATAATAATTGTTATTACTAATCATTGATTATCCATTGTAATCCTGGTTGGTGGTTTTGACCCCTCTGAATAAAATGAACGTCAGTTGGGAAGGATTAATTATCCCATATATTATGGAAAAATAAAAGCCATGTTTGAAACCAGCAACCAGAGAAATAGTGGAATTTCCTATTTGTTACCAGAGGCAATTTCCTATTTACTCGGAAAATCTATGAATAGTAAATACATATATATATATTATATATATGTCACTAAATATCCCATTCTCCAATGATTCATTGTCAGGAATCACGGAATCACGGAATCCCAATTTTTTTTTTACTGGGAAAATCTATGAATAGTAAAATTTCGTATTTGATTGATTAGTTACGAGAGATGTATGTCCCAAACAACATGTCCCAAGCGACGGATGTCCCATTGGGAAAGCATGTTTTACAAAAAAAATCAGCGAATCTAGGATAGTCATTTCCGCCAAACCAACATTCAATGGCCATTTCAGGAACCGATTGATGGGAGGTACCTACCATATATAAGGCCTATGTAAGGGGATATCCCCACAAAATATGGCCTTATATGGTACAGTACCTCCATTTTAGGATCCTGAAGTGGCCATTGAAACATAGCCACGTGACATCTGTCATGACGTCTCGATAGGCATAGCGGTCCTGTGATGTCATGGTAATGTTTTTTGGGCGAAGAAAAAGTCTAAGAAGTTGACACATACCCGGCCTGGTAAACATACAAAAAGCTATTGAAATGGCAATGTATAGCAGATTTCCCCATTAAACATGGTGATTTTCCATAGTTTTATGGGACAGTTTACCAGAGGGTACTTGGAAGTGTATCCCACTTAGTAAATGGGTCAAAAACCATCAGTTAGATTAATGGAATATCCCCTGGTATATATGGGATTATATGGGTTATTATGAAGCACTTACTAAGTGGGATGCACATCCAAGTATGATCCTACAGCAACAATACCACTAACATCTACTAACCATTTATGAACCATATATGGACCATATATGAGGCTCGTTGCTTTCTGGATCGGGCTGCTTGAAAAACCTCTGACCCAGAATTGGCTATGGCAAATGATAAGCTGGCTAAATCAAAAAAAATACTTTACTTCGTGTGATCCCCACCATGACATTTATACATTTTCTTACTGGCAAATCTTCTGGCATTCTATCTGGCATATCTTCTGGCACTCTATCTGACATATCTTCCGGCATTCAATCTGGCATTCTATCTGGCATATCTTCTGGCATATATTCTGACATATCTTCTGGCATTCTATCTGACATATCTTCTGGCATATATTCTGACATATCTTCTGGCATATCTTCTGGCATATCTTCTGGCAGATCTATCTGGCATATCTTCTGGCATATTTTCTGGCATTCTATCTGGCAAATCTTCTGGCATTCTATCTGGCATATCTTCTGGCAGATTATCTGGCATTCTATCTGGCATATCTTCTGGCATATATTCTGACATATCTTCTGGCATTCTATCTGGCATTCTATCTGGCATATCTTCTGGCATATCTTCTGACATTCTTTCTGACATTCTTTCTAACTTTCTTCTGCACATTCTTTGTCCCATATCTTCCTACATGAGGTCCGGCAGGGAACACTTGGCGTGGATACTCGCGGTTGAGGTCCGGCAGGGAACACTGGGCGTGGATGGTCGTGGTTGAGGTCCGGCAGGGAACACTGGGCGGGGATGGTCGTGGTTGAGGTCCGGCAGGGAACACTGGGCGTGGATGGTCGTGGTTGAGGTCCGGCAGGGAACACTGGGCGTGGATGGTCGTGGTTGAGGTCCGGCAGGGCACACTGACGTGGATGGTCGTGGTTGAGGTCCGGCAGGGCACACTGACATGGATCGCAGTGGAGCAGGAGGAGGACGAGGAGGACGAGGAGGAGGAGGAGAAGGAGGACGAGAAGAGGGAGGAGAAGGAGGAGGACGAGGACGAGGAGGACGAGGAGGACGAGGAGGAAGCAACTGACATAAAATCTAACAACCCTCACCTGGCAGGTGGGGAAAAATGTTTCCTGTTTAAACCAGCCATTACTGAAATCATCTGAAATCGATTGAAATCGCACAACTTTTCTGCAGTTAAAATGCATGGTGCTTGCCAGGTAAAATCACCAGCTATCCAATCTTTGATGGTTCAGAATGAGGTACCCTCTGGTTATGACTAACAGTTTGCCATGGTATAGATGGCCCATAGAAATAGATGGTTTACCGAACTTAAAAATGGTGATTTTCCGTAGTTATGGGACAGTTTACCAGAGGGTAAATCCAATGATGAACTGCAACTATGGTCATAAACCAGCTACTTGCCCATCTCTACCAACTTTCATTGTTTCAACCGTGATGTTGGCTGCTCAAGTCGCTGGTTTTGTGCGTGAAACTTTTTTTTGCGAGTGAACTCCAGTCCTCTTCGGCGGAATTGCAATAATTTAATGACCTGAACTAAGTTGATGTAGAGATTGTTCCCCTTAGTAATTGCCTTCCGCTGAATATTAAATACCTTCCTGGACACCTTGGTTTAGTATTGGATCTAAGCTTTTGGGTTCCGCGAAGGAATGAATACAACATAATACAATATCTTCAAAACCGAACCAAATGCCCAGGTTAATAGCCTGGCTGCTGATGTAGCTTGCATGTCCACTCTCGACCAGAAACGATCCTTTGCAACTAGTTGCAATGTGTAAATGCACATGTTTCATTGTTAAAACCTGGAGATGTCCATTTTTTCAGTGGTTTGTCTGCTATTCATGGCAAACAAATCACCAGTTTGGATGCTTCAACCAGAATTAAGCCACCATGTTTGATGGTTAAACCACCAACCCACTTACCATATATCTGTCTGTTTCATCATCCCCCTCTGCGACAGTCCTGGTAGAGGCCATGCACGGTAGAGAAGACCACCTCACCGAAAGGGTCAAATGAAACTTAGTTATTTTGACGTGTTTATATAGTAATTTTGACAAAGTAGTTGTGATTATTTTGAACCATTAGTTGTTAATTAGTAATCATTAATTATTAATTATTAATGGTTGATATGATATGTTAATAAGTTATATGTACTTATTTAGTTGTTTTGACATATTTAAGTAGTATCACCCTCTGGTAAATTATTGTAAATTAACATAGACCCTGAAAAAACAAACAATGTGTTCGTTGAAACTTATCTTCCAACCCTTACCTGGCAGGGTCTATTTTAATTTACTGGGGGATAATTATTAATTATTAATGCTTCATAGTCCCAAGTATTTAATAATAATATTAACATATTTATTAGCCATTTTAAACCCCAAGTATTAAGTATCAATGGTTCATAATCCATGATCAAACTATCATAGATTATGAACCATTAATGATTAATACTTGGAGTTTATTTGGGTATAATTTGTTTTCAAACACCCCCAAATAAACCACATGTATTGATTATTGATGGTTCATAATCCATGATAGCTTGATCATGTATTACAATATTTATAATATAGCTTAATTCCAAGTGATTAATTTTAACACCGGCCCCACTAACCCCAAAAAATCACTAAGTTATCATAATCCATGATTGATTGGTTTATAATTATGATGATCCAGTGAAAATACTTGCGGTTTTCATAGCTATGAAAATTCTTAATGCTTATAATCTATGATAGCCTCTGGTACACTAACAGTGTGCTATTGAACATGGCCATAGAAATAGTTGCTTTACCCATAAAAAAAAAGTGATTTTCAATAGTTATGGGACAGTTCACCATCTGGTCATCAATCATGGCTGGATTTTTTTCACCATAAAAAGAGCTGAGTTTCCCAGATTGCCTCCATTGATCGACAAAATTTACCATCAAACACATGAGTCAATCAACATGGGGATACAATGGGATGTCATTCAGATTACCGTATTTAAAGCAACATTAATATATAACCGGTTGGTGGTATACCTACCCCTCTGAAAATATGAGTTCGTCAGTTGGGATTATTATTCTCAATATATTGAAAGATAAACATGTTCCAAACACCAACCAGATAAAAAGAAAAAAACACACATATATATATATACATGAATTATTGACTGCATTTCTTGACCTTGCTAAAACATGCTGCAACTGTTTACCAATTGAGACTATTAATGAAATAGACATTAGTCATAGAAGGTAATGAGATATGGACACCGAGGCATCCCATACTGTTCGCCATTGGTTATATCCCACTATATTATACAGTATCCCCTTAATATCCCCATCAATTCTGGTGGTTTGTATCCGATCAATCAAAGTATCCCCTGAATTGCAGGACATAATCCTCAATGGGACAATTGTGGGAATATACCCTCTGGCTATTTAACATAGCCATGGAATAGATGGCCCATAGAAATAGATGGTTTACCTATCAAAAATGGTGATTTTCCATGGCTATGTTAAATAACCAGATGGTAATGGCAATATAATCTGGGTAAATTATAATAAATCACTAACTTGAAATAAGGCCATTTTGGGATGATTCTCGTTATCAACCATGATTCCAGTGAGGGAGAATGGTGAGGTCGTTATAATTTACCCTTTTCCGTAAGTCAAGAGCCTCCCCCTATCGTGTGGAGGGAGGTGTCCATGGCGTGAGAAGAATGGTGACAAACAGTGAAAAATAAAAGCAAGCCAAGCGGGACCATGCCAATGCAACCAAAGTAGACCCCAGCAGCAGTGGAATGGCCCATAGCGACCAAAAAGTATATCCTCATGTCAGGACTCAAAAAGACAGCAGCTGCAGTCGAATGCACCAAGTCAAAGTTGCACCCATTATGCAAAAACAAGAGGTTTCGAGGGAGTGCGCTTCCACTCTCGTACCAATTGAAAACCACGTGCTGCATGCTTGAGCCCCTCGGGCCATGTTCGACACATATGGGTGACATCCACTCTAGTCACAGGTTGTTCCATCTGTAGGAGATTATCCAACCCTTGATTTGCCAACAAATAAGTGCGCAAAAGCATACACACCTGCCTTTGGTGCGGAAAGACTGGCCTTGTCTTCACGCCAGCAGGCTGATGTGCTGACCCCAATTGATACAAGGATCGAACGAATCCCAATGGTCGTTGAGGCCAAGGATCGTATGCATGAAGCTTACGGATCTGCAAAACAAGATTACTAAAGGTGTGCGCAAGCTCTGACAGTCCAACCTGAAAGGTCAAGGCAGCATCCCATGAATCAAACGTCTGAAGATATTCAACTCCACTAGGGCGACTCCTTTTGAGTGGCAAAATAACACCTGAATGCACCATGAAAGACACAACCATTTCTGACCATGAAATACCAGGATCATCAGGGTGAGGAATACTCTCATCAGGCCATTTCACTTCATGCATCCATGCCAGTACCTTTTCGGCCAACGGACGCCCCCAAGCAGAATGCTGGAGTAGACAGAGGCCAGGCGGCGGCGGTGACCATACATGTTCCACATTCCATGCACCAAGAATGTCCACTGGATTCGGAGCTGCTGCTGGACGAAGCTCCGCATGAACAGCTGTCTCCTGTTGCAACGCTTCCAACCTGGCATAATGGGCACGCAAATCCAAAAACAACTGGAACAGTCTGCGAAGGTGTTTCCTTGTGACATCCTGGTCCAAAAAGATTTCTTCGGCAAGACTGGAGGTTTCTGGCTGAAAATACCGACAGGCAGAGATAGCAGCTTCATTCGCAAGTTTATTCCCTAGACATTTGTATACCATGAGCAGGTCCATACCAGAAAAGTCACTTACATGTGCCTTAACCTTACACACCTTCCGTTGACCTGTCTGCAACGCTGTCCACAAACGTTCAACCAAGTCAAAATTCTCTAAGCTCACCAATGCTTTGACATCATTGGCAGAAAGACACTGATTCCAAGCCAAAATAACGCTCTGACAATCCGTATGAATGACTACATTCGGAAACCACTCTGCCGCAAGCAGCACTGCAAAGAACTCAGAACGATAAATGGTCTGATTGCCCGTCGTTCGAGCCATGGCAAGCTTCATGAGAGAAGGTGGAAAGATACCATGTGTGAGCCACTTTTGAGCTTCCAACTTTCGTTGGTCATCTGTCAGACACGTGTCCAAAACTATGGCATAAGCGCCATAGCGGCAGCTAGGATGAGCAGGATGCATGAGAGATCCATCCGTGTACACATGTATATCAAAGCCCAAAGCCATGAGATCAATGATTCTCTGATACAAGCTAGGGTCCAGCTGCGCCTCCGGACAGCACATGTGCAAAGCCAGGAGTGCATCCTGGCTTGGGTGTCTCAGCAAGAAAGGTAATTCATGAACATCAGCCCCATTGTCCAAGAAAAACTGCAAGGTGTCAGTATACGGTTCTCGAATGTGAGCAGAGGCAGGACAGCTAAAAATTCGATGGAACCGATCATCAAAATCCTGGCAATGGCGGCACTGGCCAGTGGCATCACTCGCCCATTTGGACTTTTGCATCTCAGTCTGAAATGAGCCCGACAACTCTTGAAGAATGTGGTGTTGCTCCACCTGATTAAAAGTATCAACCAAAGCACCAGTGTCTTCACTATTGAGCTGCAAGAAACGCGGGACCCCTTTACGATCACAGGCATGCATTAAGAGGTCTGTATCCCATGCATATCTCAACCACCGGATGAGCAGTTTACGGCCAGTTTGGAGAAGAGGCAGCCAGCCAAACGCATGGACATGAAGGCATCCATTGGCATCTATCTTCCAACCCAGCTTGGACAAATAAAAGGATAGGACACCAGCAGGACCACGACATTGGTATGACAGCCCAGAATGGGTGGCTGCCATTCGGAAAAAGGTCTTGCGTTCTGTATCTGTGGCTCGAATCATCATCCGTTTGATAGCCATCAAAACTCGCAGCACAAGCTCAAGAAAAGGATCAAGCAGTTGTGGGGTGGCAGCCAAAGCCAATGCAGCATTCCTGGAGTGTGAGTGACCCAATAAGGCATTGCTGATAGAGGTCCTAAGTTTCCGAGTGTGACTATCACCTAGAGGCAGGATCTCAGCACCATAAAACACCGCAGGGAAGATCGCACCCTTCACCACTTGGATCTTGGTATGGAGAGAATGGGGGATTCTCTGAAGCTTAAGGAGACGAGCATGAACTTTCTCAAGTCGGTTCCTAAACTTACCTAAGTTGGGGACACCCTGATAGGTTACTTGTGCACCTAAATCCATTGCATTTTGGCATCGGGGGACATCTGAAGTGGCAGGTGTGGATTGCAAAACATTGGACAACAATGCAAACTGCTCGGAGCTTGTGGCCCAAGCCCATGTCTTCCGCCAATCAATCTGCATTTGCGTGGACTGCACAAAGCTTGTCGTGAGTGCCAAAATGCTCCGGTGCGCAGCTGCATTGGTAGCACTCCAAGTCCAGTTGTCTGCATAAGCCGCAATCTGGCACGAAGCCACCCGGTCATGAATCAGGCGTACCCAAATATATGCCAAGGCAAGTATGCTAACTACAGACCAACTGTCACCTTCCGGGCAACCATGGTTAACAAAAAGCCTATCAGAGCAAACCTCTCCGAGCTTCCAGACACGGCACAGTTTTTGAAGGGAAGCGTACCACTGTCGAGTGATCAAAGGTGGAAAACCCAGCCAGTCGAATGCATGCAACACCGCAGCCTGGCTAATGGTGTTAAAGCACTTGAGCAGATCGGCTGTGACCCCTGATCTGGGTTGAGCATTGTGGTACGACAATTCTATGAGCCATTGTTGTCGGAGATAGGCATCAGAAGGCCCACGATGAGCCAAGAAGCCTGTGATTTCATCAGGGAACTGCAAGGACATAAATGCCAACAGCTGCTTACAAATGACCCGAGACCATAATCGATAGAGCTGAGCCAGGACAGTTATCGGTCTCACCTGAGAAGGCTCTGGAATCTCACAGGTCTTCGGGACGGCTATTGTGAATGCTGTCATAAGCCATGCTGGAAATCCACTTTCAAAGCCATTAATGATACGCTGAACATGGGAAATGGCACGGCCTGGCAAATGTTGCAACTCCTGGGAGGAGATGCCGTCGATCCCTCGAGATGAGGGGATCTTTAACCGCTTTACCGCAGCAATCCATTCATTAGTGTCGTCCATATCAATTGCTGGTGCCGGCAAATGAATTGGCAGACTGTCAACAAACGCCTGAAACTGTGGAGCTGCCTGTGTTTCAGGGTTGGGTTGGTTCCAAAGTGGCATCCAAAAGTCTTTCAGCAAGGACAGTATGGAGCATGGATCAGCTGTAATCTGTCGCTGTGTAACAATGTCATGTTCAGGCAGCACATGCTGGTCAGCCATGCGAAGCTGCAAGGAATACATATCCCTGTGGACCAAAGTGCAAGGAATGTCTCCAACATGGACTGGAGCAGCAAAGTCAAACTGTTCTGCATTGTCACAATAGGCAACCAAGGTATTAGGCTCATCTTGGACCAGAATGGCATCTTCCGAAAGGTTACGAACCATCTCAACTAAAGGAGGGGCAGTAAATTCACGAACCGAGGCAAAGGCAGCCCTATTACCCGCATACCTGGCATCCAAGTCTTGAGCGAGGAGAGCTCGATCCTTGTGAAGTTTCCTGTCAAAGGCAACATCTGCATCAGTCTGAAACCGCAGCAGTTGCAGCATGGTGCCAATATAGCCAACCTGGGGGACCTCAAAGGGTGGAGGACCCAGCTCTGGGGTTTGTTGGCACCACCTAATCTGACAACCTCCAAAGGCACGACATCTTAAAATGGCATGCCATTCCTGAGTCATTTCAATCATTGCCTGGGGAGTGGGCTGGCATTGGTGTGCCTTAACAACCCTGCGATAGAGCGCTTGGACTCTTCGAACCTGCTTGATTCGGCATTGGGTGGTACGTCTGATGACCTCCCCTGGTGGCGAATAATCCCCCGGTCTAGGAGGTTTGGTGAGGAGCTTTTTCTGAGCCAGCTGGGGCTTTCGAGGTTGGCAACGTCCTCGAAATTGCTTGGGAAGAGGCTTGGTTTGGTGCCAAGCAATATCTTCATTTTCCTGCTGGGTACAGCGATATGCCCTGTCAACTGCATCTTCAATGGTTCGACCCCAAGCTGTTAAATCTTGTGGTTCTCCAAGCTGATCCACGGCCAGGTCATAGGATTCAGGCAAGAACTTCGGATCAATTGGCAGGTCAGTCCATGGTCTTGGCAGAGGTATTCGCAGGGTCTCTCTCGCTACAGCAGGGATGGTCATTTGAAACAGAACAACATTGTGTGCATCAAAATGGCCAGCTGGAAGAACAGTGACTTGTGAGACCCAACAGGCCGCAGAAGGGGAGAACACCGCAGTATCCGGCTGTGTAGCTCCTTTGCATGTAGGGGGCATATCACTCCCATGGATTTGACGATGCAACTGTCGAAGGTCAACCAGATGTCTATCTTGTGCTTCTTCTGCTATCAGCGCAAGGGGGTCAGAATTAAAGTCTCCCAGAATTACATAAGGCAGGTCGAAATGGGAGACTGCCTGTAAGGCAGCTTGGAGCAAAAGAGTGTTGGCTCGGCCCGATCCGGAGGTGGCATGCCCATAAATGACAACAATCTGCAATTGAAATCTGCCAGTTTCAAAGAGAAAATGACCAATTCTTGATGAAGAGGCATGGAAATCATCAATGGTATCACCAATTTTTCTGATGGGCCAAGATGAGAATAAACCAACACCAGTTGCCTTACCCCGCAAGGAAGGAAGTCCATCAGACCTCTGGACTCTGTCCGGAGCAGGAACTGACCATTTAGAACGAAAACCAATGTGGCGCATGGCATTGGCAAATTGCCGTTGCACCGCAAGGGTGGCCGCTGTTTCAGACGCACTGACAACATCTAAGGCGTGCTCTCGAATGAGCTCAGCATACTGTGTTGGTTTGGAAACAATGCTGGTGGGATTGGTTATGGCAAAGTTTAGGCAAAGCTGGTCAGGACCAGGGTGCAATGCTTCACCAATTCGCATGGCTACATAAGGATCAAATGATCGCTGTTGAGATGGCAAAATGCCATCTTGGCAAGGCCGTACTCGCAAATAAGAAAAAACTCTGGCCTGAGAGGATGCTATACACTTCATGGCAGGCACTGAGAGCATGGCACAAGTCAATTGGCATATCAAAGACAATGTTGTCTCCCGAAAGTTTGCAGGATGACAAAACATGGCAAAAAAAATGAACTGCTTTAAGGTCAACCCTGGTGGCATGGGACTACAGACCAATACAAATGCTTCACCAAAGTTGGGATCGGCGAAACCTGATAGCCCTTGGTTGACCATGGCATGACAAAAAGGGAGGTCGCTGGTCCTTTCAAGCAAGCTGACTGAACATTTAAGGCCAAAAGGAGCAGCTCCCATTTCGCATCTCTTTGCCGCTTGCACCATTGGTGAAAGAGAGACACGCAAAAGCAACCGTATACTTTGATCCCCAGCAACTGAAAAAGCTATACAGGCAAAGGCATAAGGCAAAATTAGGCTGGAAAAGTATGGCAGGACAGGTTGCTCACTAAATTTTCGGCAAAAAACTCTGGCAAGTCGGTGACAGAGCACTGCTGTCAGTGTTCTTGGCCTATGTTGAGATGGCGTGCAGGCAAGAGCCAAAAACAAGCAGCATCCATCACTGTGCTGAAGGCTGTGTCGGGTGCAAGAATCTAAACAGTTATGGCACCAGAGACAGGACACATCCACTGCCGTGATATTCCAACAGGGTCGTAGCCTCTCAAAAAGACAAGCAAAAACTGGGAAAAAAGGCCCCAGTGTGTCTGACAAAAATTGGTCGAACCCTGTTTCGCAGGAAGCATTGAGGAGGGCATCTGGTAAACAATCTGATGCAGCTGATGCCATATTGGCATACAAAACGTCAAACGCAAATGGACAGGGCATCCTCAATGTCCACAAACAATCACCTTGGCTATACATTGCTGGCAATAAGTGAGGCATGAGTGTCATGACAGATACTGTACAATGGAAACTGGTCAAATGTCCAAGGAATGACATGATCATCCAGCCATGGAACTGTTCCATGTGCTCACATAAAGCAGCGTGAAAAAACTTAGCCAAATCCGTGATGGCCAATGATATAGCAAGCAAACGCCATAGCCCTGGGCTCCAACATGTGCAGGAGTATACAGGCTTAACACAATCGCCATCAATGTCACACCCAAGTGCCAGTGAAATAGGGCATGGAGAAACATGAATCCCAATGGAGGAAAATGGCTGTGAAAATGGCTGATCAGCGGGTGTTCCAACTAATGGAAGCAAGTATTTGTCAATGGTCGTTGGGGATTCTATACACTTCAGGCAGAAATCGACACATTGACAGGTACCAAATTGGGTTGGTATGGCTTGAGACCAATTCCTGTGATGTCCATGGAGGAATAATGCAACAGAAAACAACAATGAAAACAGCAAACCGATCAACATCGAGTAGTGGATCTTCCGGATCTTCTGGGAGCAAAACTGTTGTGGTGCTTCAACATCACCCAGAAGTCCGGTCAGTGTTAAGGTATCAAACCGAAAAATGATACAATATTGACAAATCATCGAACGGCACAAGAGCCCCACAGGACTATTCGAAAGACACAACACAGGAGACCTAGGATGTTCTATACACTGTAGACAGGCTAAGAGAAATTGCACAAAAAGGGGTGGCCTGTTTAATCCCAGGTTTTGTCGACACAAAATGGTGACTAGTCTCAACAAACTGTACATCAGTGCGGTGAACAAAAGTGTCCACCTTGGAAATGTCCAGGATACCAGCCGGTCACAGTTGTTTGCGGCAGAGATAGCACATTGCACACAATGTCTCATATACACTGCCAAAAGTTGGATTATGCAAGGCAAACAGGATATCTGGTTGGCAAAAACGGCACCTTAGCACAACTTCAGAGTCACCGTCCCTATCCATGAAAGAGCAGGCTGGCAGCGGAGTGGAAGCTGGCTGGGTCAGGGGGCAAAATTGAGGGACATCGCCTTCAGTATCCAATGGCCCAGCAATCGATATCTGTACGCTTGGCAAGGGCTGGCCGGTGTACGTTTTGCAGAGCCAAGTGTACACCGGATCATCTGGAAAGCAAACGGATGCATTGAATGCCGTGTCCAGAATAAAATGGTCAAACAAATTAAAACAAGGCAGCATCAATGTCCATAAATCGCCAACATATCTATACAGTGATGGCAGGAAATGAGTCATAGCTGTCATGTCGAATGCCATGCACAAGGAACATGACAAAAGGCCAAACATGGACATGAACATCTGGCCATGGAACTGATTCATGTGTGCACATTTAGCAGCATTACCAAACATAGCCAGTTCCGTACTGATCAAGGCTATATTAAGCAAACAGCATAGCCAGGAGCTCCAACAGGTGCAAGACCACATTGGTGCGGCAAGTACACAACCAAGAACCAGTGAAATAAAACATGCACGAAATCCAACTAATGGAAGCAAGTAAATGTCGATGGTCGTAGGAAATTCCATACATTGCAGGTATGGACCGACACATCGACTGTCACCAGATTTAGTTGTCAGGTCATGGAACTGATCCATGTGATGTCCATCTAAGGCTGGTGCAGCAGTGTACCTAAGTGATATCGGAAAAAGACCAAGCAGTAAATTGCAAAGCTTTAGGGTCATCTGGAGACCAAACTGTTGCAGTGCTTTATCATCTCCCAGAAGTCCTATGGGCAGTGGGACGTCAAACCAGAAAAAGTAACAGGCAAGACAAATCATCAGTCGGCACCTGAGCCTCTCAGGACTGTGCGAAAGGCACGACCAAAGGGACAGACAACATGCTATACACTGAAAACAGGCTAGCAAAAGAAGTACAAAACGGGGCAGCCTGTTTGATCCCAGATTTGGTCGAAACAACCTAATGACAAAATGCGAATTGTGCATCAGAAGGATGAACAAATGCGCACCCCTTGGGAATGGCCAAGGAAGCACGCGGTCCATATGGTTTTTTGCGACTGGGATGTCACATTGCTCAAAATGTGGCATACACGATGCCCTAGATTGGATTGTGCTAATCATGGCAAACAGGAAATCTGGTTGGCAAAAAAAGGACCTTAACACAACTTCAGAGTAACCGTCCCTATCCATGAAGAAGCAGAATGGCATTTGAATTAAGGCTTCCAGGGTCAAGTGGGGGCAAAATTGAAGGTCATCGCCTTCGACACCCACAGGCCCCGCTCTCGGTGGCGTTTGTCAATCTCGCATGTCTCCTCCATCTTCAGGCTTCCGCTTCTGCTGTCCTCCAAGAAGGTGCTTGAGCTCGGCCATACGCTCCTCCATAACTGCAGTATTCTTCTGAAAGGCATTTTGCAGGGCACGATCCAGATCATTCTTGATGGCGTCCATTGTCTGGGCAACCTGGTGAACTTGCTTCTGCTCTCTTTCCTCTGCAGCCTGAAAGCGAGCTTCTGTGTGCTTTGTGAAGGCTTCTTGTTGTTTGGCAAGAGTTTGGATCTGAGCTTCAATCGTCTGGAGTTTCTGATCCTGAGCTTGCAATCTGGACTCCGTAGGGCCATCAGCAGAGCGGGGCTGCATCACTGCAGGGGCCGTTGGTTTTGGTCCTGTATATCGAGCCCACGGATCCATGTCAACAGTATGGTCGTGAAAAGGGTCTTTGACATGCTTGGAAGATCGTGGTCCAACCAAAACAGAAGCATTGGCAGCAGGTTTGGGTGGCAAGTGACGCACCAAAATAGGTGACGCATTGAACATGAGAACCCCCTCCGGTGGATGCCGATCAGAACGTAAGAGCATGGCCCGGGGTCCAAGATTACGAATGGGCTGGCAAACCCAGCCTGTCTTCTGGGCCCATTGCTGCATGACTTCAAAAGTGGTGCCAAACGGAAGGCCTTCCGCCTTAAACATTAGCTCCCCTTTGAGTTGGTGTGGACGAGGGGCATTGGGACAAAGGATATCCCAAGCAGCGTCGAAATCAGAATCCTTGAATCTCAAACCCAACGTTTTCTTCCCCTTTGCCATACCCAAGCATGAGGCAACTTTGGCACTGCAAACTGCAGCCTGTCGAGAGTCACACTGCAGCCAAATGATTCGATAGTCCAAAGAGATCTTGCCAGAAGGCTGCTTCGGTGTACAGAACAAATGGTTGAATCCAGATCTGGCCAAAAAGGTGGCAACCTTGTCCATGCCAATTGAACAATGGACCTGGATGGTCTGTGCTTGTACAGGGGCACAGGGCGCCCGATCACTGCGAAAGGAACGACCCCACATGGACAAGACCGCATCAGCCAATCCTTCTGCCTGCAATAATTTCCTGATGAATGGGAAAGTGTTTTGTGTGGCTTCTGTCCATTGCTCAACGGAGAAATCACCTTTGTACAAAGTGATGGCCATCAACATGCACTTGGCAGCATCAACTTGCTGAGGATCACCCTTTTGGTATAACACCTCTTTGGCCCCCAGTTGATACATGAAGCACTTGAGTAGTACCATATTGCCATCAAGGTTGTGGCAGGGGACCGACAGTTCCTGAAATGGCAGCTTGGATTCAGGTTTGGCCCCAACCACCAACAAGGCAAGCTCATCAGCAGATAACTTCTCCGGTGTTTGAAGCCATTGGGCGGCTTGGGTTGTTCCCATCAAGCAGATGCCTGTCGCCTGAGGTCGCAACAGTGGGATGGCAGGACATGGTGTTCCATCCTGATTCTTGAAGAAAGATTCCACCAAAGTGAACTCATTCGGATCAATAGGATCAGTACCTTTCTTCTTCTTTGGGCGCTGCCAGGGGAGCCCGTTTGGCTTTTTCCGGGTGGATGGCTTTGCTGGCTCAGGAACTGCGATGTCAGTCTCTCGACAAAGGGTGAGGAGCGCAGTCATTTTGGCATTCCCTGTTGGCATGGCAGTAATCGTTTGGATCTTGGACAAGCTATGCTTCTGAAGAAGAGTATCAGCAGTCTTCGATATCCATTGCAATTCAAAACCGTGCTCCAAAAGATAGGAGGCCAGTGCCGTCTGTTGCAGAATTCGTTGCTGGTTTTTCACACCAACTCCTCCACCTCTTAATGCAAGGACGGCATGAATGAGTACAGCCTGGCGATGATCTGTGATTGGAAGGTCGGCAATTGCGGTC